AACAAAATGCAAGATTTTGGTCAAAGAAATATTTTTCCGAAAAAGAAGTTTATTGTAAATTTAATTAAACGGGTATTTAAATTACTTTTTCTTAGATTTAAATTATTATTAAGAACAATATAGCGCATGATTTTTATATATTTTAGAAGTATACTTCATATCTTCATTTCACTACATCTGATACTCGAATAAATAAATCACAAGATAATGTCGAGTCTTTCTGCATATTGTGTAATCAAAAGTTTAGAGCTCTTATTGGTCGAACATCCAACATTAAGAGACATTTACAAAGAAAACATCGCGACATTTTGGGTAAGTGGTTTGACTCATACGACACACTAAACAAATCAAATAAAAAGCAAAACGTGATAGATGCAGATACTTAGAACGCTATCAAGTTCTTTATTACATGGAACTGCTCAATTAATGGATTTAATAATCTCTTTTTGAGGAAAATAGTCAAAGCTCCACTTCCTTGTGCAAAAAGAGAAAAACTTGATACCAAAAATAATGGCAAAATTATCAAACATAATTAACAAAAAATTAGAGGATGCCCTGGTTGTCACTTTATTTAGTGATATATAGACATCTCCTGAAATGTAGGACTTTATTGCGGTTGGTGCAACATTAACGAACAGCGGTTCAAAAAAAGATTATTTGAAAAGTCTCAAAAAGAAAGAGTTGAAGAGTCCAAAGGTGGCGATAGTGCATATGAAAATGATCCATTGCTGAACCAAGAGGTTGCCCAAAATATTGAAAAAGAAGATAATGAGCAGCTAAAAATAGGTAAAGATGAAGTCTTAAATATTGAAATTTAAACCTCTGGTGAACTTCTTGAAGTGCTATTAACTGAATTAAGGAAGCTTAATTTTAGAATTGTAATTCAGTAAGCCAAAACAGCTGAGGAAGTAAACATCACTTATAACTTAAATGAAGAAAAAAAATATGATCTTCATAGAGCTGAGCTAATTTTGCATGCATTAACTATTATGATTTCAAAATGGAGTAGAATGAAATTGATAATTTCTTTTTTTAAATTAAAGTTTCAGTACGAACTAAACTCAGGAATTTATCAAGTAGTATCACTATTGAATATCTCAAAGCTTAAATTGTGGTTCTTTATAACTGATTGTCAATTTATTATTAAAGGTATTTAGTTATTAAATTATAATACTTAACAAAAAAAAGTTTTAAAATTTAGTTTAAAAAATAGTTCTTCAAAACCTAATTCATAATATTAAATAATTGCATATATTAGTTTATTATACTAAAGTTTGTATTACAACCCAAAACTGTTTAGGAGCAGTAGAAAACTACACGAAGTCCTGAAACTCTTTACGCCACAATATTTATCGAAATAAATGCTGATTGAAATATCAGTCGCTCATTTTTAAAAGTAAACTTAAAACTTCTTGAAAGTTTAAATGTTTTTTTGGACGACAATGAATCAGATAGTGAAATGTAAACTTATAATTAAGATAATATATTTTTTTGAACATGAAAAGCACAAAAATAAAATTAATATATAATGCAATTATTTCAATAACAACAATAATTTTAATAATAACACAACGGTTTAAATAAAATATTATATTATATCTTTGAATTAACAAATAAAAAGTAACAAATTAATAGTTTGCGTTTTCTTAAAAAGATTTTTAAAAATAGATTAGGTAAGTCGCGTTTGTATTAAGTTCGCAAACACATTTATTCGGGTAAATTGCAATTGAGCTACGTTTATAAACGCATTTTAAAAGCGTAAGTTGCGTATTAAATGCGTGCGTAATTGTGGTTATTTAAGTAAACTGCGCTTACATTTACGTAAGTAAACCCAATAAGTTGCGTCAAATGTGTTTGAGTTAGCGTGTGAGTTTTTATTTTGGAGCACAAACGCAAAATGCAGTTTTTTTGTGTTTCAATGTATGACCATAGTATTGCAGTTTTAAAAATAAAAACTGTTTCTGGTGGATATTTTTTTTTTCAAATAAATTACTTCTGCTACGGTGAGTATAACACATAGAATTAACGGTTACATGAAATTTAAGAAACTGTTTTTATTGACTGGTCAATTGAAAAAAAAATTTTTTCAATGTTTTAATTTTTATTTTATAAGACTAAACTTTGTAAATAAAAACACTTTATATTACAAAGGTATAGTTTTTGGACAAGTTTTTAGTTATTCTAAAACAGCTCACATGCTTTTAATTAAAAAGGAAGATGCGATAAAATTAAAGTAATTTTAGATGTTTTATATTTTTGTACATTTAACTTTTAGTTTGTTTAAATTTTTTTATATAATTAAACTTTTTATAAAATTTATGACTAAACATAAAAAAATGTCTTTTTAAAATTTTTCTGTAGTTTATTACCTTTCTAATGCTTTAGAATGCACAAAAACGTTTTTAATTTTCAAATTTTATTACTAAGTTCAAGTAAGTTCTAAGTTCTATTCTAAATAGTGCCTCTGTAGAAAATGCGAAATTTTAGCACGCAAATATGATAAGAAATTTAATCTAGTATGCTAGTTTATTTTTAGCACACAAAAAAACTTTAATACTCAGGGCCGCAGAGAGGAGGGGGCAAACGGGACAGTTTGTTCTGGATGGCAGATATCTAAGGGGCGCCAAATAAAATGTAGGTATCTAAAAAAAATATATAAAAAAAAAGATCCTTCATATATAATATAGGGAAAATTTAATAAACAGGGGCGCTAATCAGGATTGCTGTCCCAGACGGCGTGACAGCTCTCGGCGGCCCTGTTAATATTAGAAGATGATTTTATAAAATACCAGAAAAAAATTACTAAAGCTAACCATTTTCTTAACTAAATAGAACAAATGCGCTAACGATACTATAGTTTATTTAGGGGGTGTTTATATGGATAAAAATCATCCTGAAATCAACCGGAAAGAAAAACAACCAAGATTTTGCTTCTCCATTTAATTTTAAGATTGCATTTATATGTAAAATTATTCACTTTGCTTAGATGAGACCTTGCTTTTTATCTTTGTATTTGTATTGTATTAATACCAATATAAAGATATATTACAAAGCATAATGGAGCCGTTAATGTACAATGATGACCCAAAGCATACTACGAGGTCTGTAAAATCTTGGACTTGGGAAAATAAAATAAATTTTCTAGAATGGCTACCCCAAAGTCCCGATCTGAATCTGATCAAGAACTTATAAAACGATATTGGAGTGGCTTTACAAGATAAGCAAACCTCTAATTTTATTGATTTTTTGGGGGAAATTCAAAAAGTCTGGGTTGTCACAACTGTGAAACTATGTCAAAGGCTTGTTAACAGTATGCCATCAAAATGTGCTAAAGTATTAAAGAATAAAGGCTACCAAACAAAGTATTAACGTTAGTTTTGATATTTTGATGTAGACTTTTATAAAACACTATTTTTTTTTCTTTGTGCTGTTTCTGTAATCACAACTTTTTGTTTTATTTAAACTTTTCAATAATTATAGTTATACTTCAGTTTAAGTTTTTTATCTTTTTAAAAGTATAAACGGAAATTTTTTTAATTTCTTTAAAGAAATAAACTAAATTAACACTAATGAAGAAATCGTTAGGTGTGCTAGTTCTGTATTCACCACTGTATATGTATAAAATTTTGTGGATGTAGATCAGCCTAATTACTCACTTACTACTTGCACAAATTGTTTTGGTTACTCACCTACTAAAATTTTAAAAACAGCCATTGTAACCATAGTATTTACAATATGGCATACACTAAGTTTTAAATACTTAAAATTAAAGGATAAAGTATTTAGAACTTTATTTTAGCATTTATAACTAAGCAACAAAAAATTTAAACAAACAGATGTAAAAACTTACAGCTAACAGTTAAAACTGTATTAAACTAGTATCTAAATAATTGGTGCCTAAACACATATTAACTTTGTTTAAAACTTTATATAATTATATCCATCGTTAAGTAACCTATTTAAATCCAAAATTGTTTGCTTATATTGCGTTATGCAAATTTATTTATTTTTAATAAAAAATGCAAAGTGGCCAGTGATCAGTTTGTATTTGTTATTAAAAATTAATAAATGCAAACTGACCACCTGCTATATATCACAAAAGCAATTACAATCATATTTACAATGCGATTGTATAAACTAATGACATTTAGATTTTGGTGCTTCACAACTTAATTTGGCCCCAGAGCCCCAAACAATTTTGCAACGGCTCTGTATGAAAGTATTCATGAAACTCACAACCATCGAGTGAGCTAAAGCAAAAAAATTAATGAAACACATAATCAAAAGTTTGATTAGACATAAACAATGTCAACATGCTATGAATTAAATAAAATTTTAAGAGAGTAAACAAAAAACTAGGTAATAGTAATAATAGTACTATGATCAATTAAATTGACTATTTGATTTTTTAAAGTCAACTTTTTGACTATTTGATTTTTCAAAGTTGACTAATTTTGACTTTCGACTAGTTGACTTTTAGTCAATTTAGTCAAAGTCAATAACAACACTTGTTTTTGTAGAACTGTTGAACTCAGATAAAATTTGTGAAATACTGATTTTAAGCTCATTCTAGTAATAAAAACATTTAAAAGCTTCAGAAGCTTTTAATGATACATAACAACAAATTATTCAAAAGACATTTGAATCAAGACATTTATTCAAAAGACATTTGAATAAATAAAATAAATAATGAGATATTTGAGTTGTGTCAAAGACTAAATTTGGCGCAACAAAAATTTTGCATCATTAAAAAATTATTTTATCTTTTGTTTATGTGTATCCTTTCTTTGAGCATGAATTTTTATTATAAAATGATGATTAATCACTTTTGTGAGAGCAAATTAAAAAACTAAAAAAGTTTGACATTTTTTAACTTAAAGTTATCATAAAAATGTTCTTTCAAAACTGTTTATGATAAAAATTGTTAAGTATACAAAAATAAATAAATTTTGCTAACATAATTTCCATAAAAACTGTTAAGTAGTATAAAAAATACTTACAGTAAAGTTATTAACTTGACGGGGTGGAAGAACTAAACATTATTTAACATATAATTATAACTCTTATCTTATAGAATCACCAAACCATCATTTTTAATCAACTTTTATTAAAAAAAAGGTGTAGAAAAAGAAATAAAAAAATACCAGGGGGTCGACTTAAATTGTTGAAATTTCTTATATCATCAGCACCTAAATATGCAATAAAAATTAAGAATAATAACTAATATATAACATGCAACTTTTATATTACATTTTAAAACAAACCAGACAACATAAGAAAAATTTAATTTGAAGAAAAATAAATTTAAATATAGAGTTCATTTAAAATGCACTTTTACTTCCTACAATTAAGAATTCAAAAAAGTTATAAAATTATAAAAGGTTTATTGAGATATTTTCAGGATAATTACTTTATTTAACAATTAAAGCAATTTTCCTGTAGAAATCAGAACAATTTAGATCTTAATTTTTCTTAATAGTTCTAATAAAACTTCTTCATATATATGTTTTACTTTATATATAAAATTTATAAAACTTTATAAGAAAATTGACAAAATTTCTAAAAAATACTACAACCAAAAACTTTAAATGCAAATTTCTTTTTTTTATTGAAACACAAATTAATATAAATTATAACTTCTACATTAATGTATTTTCAAATGCATGTAAAAATGGGTAAAAGAAGTATTAAAAGTTGGTAAAGTAATAAATTTTCTGCATGAACTTAGTTAATCACATTTTGTTTTTAAATCAGGTCAGGATAATCGAGATCAATCTTGCTACTGGTATCACGTAACCCAGTACCACCTGCCACAAGCCCTGCTGCCTTGCAGAGTGTATTCTTCTTATGCAAAGGCTAGGAGAAATAAACACCGACTAAAAATTCCCCTGCCTTGGGGCTCTTGGTTGAGTAAAGGCTAGAGATGGTGTCTCGATAAAAATACTCATCTTGGGCAGATGTTAACTGCATCCTGCTACTGTCTTGTAGAAGGCCTCCTAAGCAAAGACTTTAGGGGTAAGCAGAAAAATTCTGCTAACCAGCCTCGAACCCCTTCTTCATCTATTAGGCTGGCGTAGATGTAACCTGTGTTACATTGTTTCCTGCCTAGGATGATGAATGCTGGATCTCCTTGACTCTACTCATAGAATTTTGCTTATGCCTCCTTGATAATGGTTATGCAACTCTTCCTGTTATCTCCATATGAGGGTACAGCTCTAAAACTCAGTTTAATGGTTCTGAGGCCGGCTGGTAGTAAGGTTTCCCGAACTCTGTGGTAGCTCTCAGAGAGGCTGATTCCATCAACAGCTGCAAAATATCAGAGTATTAACAGTGCCATGTTGCGCATGGATGGTGTCCCTGTTAATGCTTTTGGTGTGCATTGTCAAGGCCACATAAGGAGCCCTATGTCACGGCTTAGGGTTAATTAACAGGACTGAGAAAACTGCATAGCTCATTGATTAGGAGGCTGTGCTCTATCTATGAATGAGTCTCGTTCTCATTAAACCCAAATCATGACCAAAGTAACCAAAAATTTAAAACCTAAAAAACCATCCCCACCACCTAAATATTTTAATATATCTTTTACAAATATTCGCGGTCTACGAAGCAACTTTCCATCAGTTGAGTCTTACCTCCTGCAAAATTCACCAGACTTGCTTGCACTCAGTGAAACAAATTTAAGTTCTGCAATTCCTTCTTCAGATGTCAGCGTTGATGGGTACTATCCTTTGATTCGTAAAGACTCCAATAGTCACATGCTAGGTTTAGGGGTATACATACGCATTAATTCCCCTATTTGTCGTGAAATCAGGTTCAAATCCTTTGATCATTCTTTTATGTGCTTTCGCCTAGCACCTCTTCACTCTATCACCTTTTTCTTTGTTCTTTATCGTTCTCCTTCTTCCCATGATTGCACTCTCTTAGATGTTATCTCTGATCAAATTGACCGTGCCCTCTCTCTTTACCCCTCTGCCAATATTATTGTTGTTGGTGATTTTAATGCCCATCACACTGAATGGCTTGGTTCTAACACCACTGATCCTGCTGGCACTAAAGCCTTTAACTTCTGCGTTTCTCAATCTCTTACTCAGATAGTTAACTTTGTGACTCGTTTTCCTGACAACCCTAATCATTTACCTTCACTCCTTGACTTATGTCTTGTCTCTGACCCTAGCTTATGTTCAGTTTCTCCCTTTTCTCCCTTAGGTAGTTCTGACCATGCATTGATCTCTTTAAATCTTTCTTCTCATACTTCTTTTTTGGGCTCACCTTATCATCGCACCACCTACTACTACCCTAAAGCTGACTGGGATTCCTTTCGTGATTTTCTTTGTGATGGTCCTTGGGCTGATGTTTTTTCTCTCTTAGCTGACAAATGCGCCTCCTACGTAACCTCCTGGATTCAGACTGGAATGGAAGCTTTTATCCCTTCTCGTCGGTTTCAAGTCAAGCCTCATTCTACTCCATGGTTTTCTCTTTCTTGTGCGGCTGCTATATCCAATTGTAATCATTTTTTTCATCTTTTTCAAAAGAACAACTCTCTTGAGAACAGACGGCTATTTATTATTGCAAGAAATCGATGTAAAAAGGTGCTTTCTGATGCTAAACTCCATTATTCTCAGTTCACTAAATCTTGCATCATATCACAGAAGTTAGGCTCTAAAGACTTTTGGAAAATCTTCAACAGCATTGTTAACAAGGGTAGATCTAACATTCCATCTCTCATTCATGGGACTGATCTTGTTACCTCTCCCAGGGATAAGGCAGAACTATTTGCAAAGAACTTTTCTTCTAATTCCACTCTTGAATCTTATGGACATTCTCTTCCTTTCATTCCAGTCAAACAGGTTGACCCATTGTTAGACATTCAAATCACTCTGGCTTCTGTTGCTAAAGTCATATCTCAATTAAACTCGTCTACAGCTTGTGGTCCAGACAACATTCCTGTCACAGTCTTGCAGAATTGTTCTCCAGAACTTTCTTCAATTCTCTCTAAACTATTTAACAAGTGTTTGACTGAGTCTTGTTTTCCTGCTTGTTGGAAAATGACATCTGTGGTTCCAATATTCAAAAACTCTGGAGAAAATTCTGACCCCTCCATTTATCGTCCGATCAGTCTTCTTTCTGTTATTAGCAAGGTCTTTGAGTCTTTGATCAACAAATTCCTCACATCTCATCTTGAGTCAAATAAACTGCTGTCAGACAATCAATACGGTTTTCGATCCTCTCGCTCTGCGGCCGACTTGCTAACTGCTGTAACTGAAAGATTTTATTGTGCATTAGATGGAGGTGGTGAGGCTAGGGCTATTGCTCTCGACATATCTAAAGCTTTCGACAATGTTTGGCATGCTGGTCTTCTCCATAAGCTTGCTTCATATGGTGTTTCTGGGAAAGTTTTTGAGATTATCAAATCATTTCTTTCTGACCGGTTTATTAAAGTCATCCTTGAAGGCCAACACCCTTCTTTATTTCCAGTAACTTCTGGGGTTCCCCAAGGTTCCATCCTGGGCCCTGTTTTGTTTCTTATCTACATAAACGATCTTCCTGACAACCTTTCATCTAAAGTAGCTCTTTTTGCTGATGACTCAACTTTATACTCCTGTCTTGACAAAAAGTCTTCTCTTTTCGATCGCCAAGAACAAGCAGCTGATCTTGAATCTGATCTCACTTCAGTAATAGATTGGGGTTCACAGTGGCTTGTGAATTTCAACTCTAAAAAAACCCAATTGCTTACTGCAAACAACTACTGTAATATGGTCAATATTCCTATATTAATGAATGGCAATCCTCTTACTGAGTCCTCCTCTTTACGTCTTCTTGGATTATCGCTTACTACTGACCTTTCATGGAAACCATATATATAATTGATTGCTAAATTAGCTTCTGCTAAGGTTGCTTCTCTTTATCATGCTCGCCATTTCCTTACTTCTGATTCCATTCTCTACCTCTACATGTCTCTTATTCATCCCTGTATGGAATACTGTTGTCATATTTGGGCTGGTTCTTCTAAAGATTCACTTTCTCTTCTTGACAAGGTCCAAAAACGCATTGTAAATGTTGTTGGACCTGGACTATCTGCTAAGCTTGAACCTCTTTCCCATCATTGTAAAGTTGCATCTCTTTCTCTTTTCTACAGATACTATCATGGTCACTGCTCAAAGGAGTTATCATCTCTAGTTCCATCAACTAAAATTCATTCTCGTTTTACTCATCATTCAGCTAAGTCTCATTCGTTTACTGTATCTGTCCTAGCATGCTCTAAAAACTTTTATTCGTCTAGTTTTTTTCCCCGCACTTCAATCCTATAAAACTCTCTCCCATCTTCATGTTTTCCTGACTCATACAACCTTCAACTTTTCAAGTCTTCTGTCAACCGTTTCCTTGCTCTATAACTCTGTTCTTTTTTTTTTTTCCTAGTAACTCCCAACTTTATAGTGGTTGCTTGCAGCCTTGTTGGGAGTGAATGCAAATAAAAAAAAAAATTAAAAAAAAAAATAATTCCTTGAGTTTCCATTTAACTTATAATTAGTTTTAAAAACAACAAAAGAAGGAAAAATACACAAAAAAAATTTGAAAAATCTCAATAGACTGCAATTTAACAGCAAATGAGACTGCAATTTAACAGCAAATGAGACTGTAATTTAACAGCAAATGAGACTGCAGTTTAACAACAAATGAGACTGCAATTTAACAGCAAATGAGTTGCAAATCTTTATATCGTTAGTTGTATTATCTAACTTTTTATTAAATGAAATCAATTAAATCCAAATGGTGCTGAAATAAAAAAAGGCTTTTAAAACCTAAAAAAAGTATTTAAAAGATTTTTTAACAGTTTCAAAATTAGTTTAAACACAGGCCTCTCACAAACAAGATGTTTTCATACTTTTGTTGCATGAGTTTGAAATAAATATAGTCTTTATTCATTCAAAACACAAATGGTGCCAAAGAACTCTGAAACATCAAAAGGAAAAAAGAAGCAATTGTAAGAATATTGTATATAATACAGTAGTGGTGTAATGGTAAAGCGCTTGCCTCATAAGCCAGGAGTTTTGAATTCAATCCCCACCATGTCTCTGGTATGTCTCGTGTCTCACTATGCCTCTGGTAGTCAAGATCTTTTCCAAGATTATTTTCCAAGGTTTGTATTTTGAAGGTTTATAGATTTTATAGAGGGTTGTAACCACAACTA